TATAACTCACTTCATTTTCATTTTTGAGATGCACTTTTTCATGGGGTGAAAGTACAGGATTTGCTCTTTCTAACAAGCCCCAAACCGTTTTTCAAAGTTCATTTTTCGAGAAAATCACACGTTCGAACATTTTGGGGGGTTTTGCCGAACACTTTTTTGAAATCGCGAGTTTTTGGGCTTTAAGCGGGCATAACTCACTTCATTTTCATTTCTGTGATGCACTTTTTCATGGGGTGAAAGTAGGATTTGCTCTTTCTGACAAGCACCAATTTTTCAAAATCCATTTTCCGAGAAAATCACACGTTCGAACATTTTGTTCCCATAGGTTTTTGAGCAGCACATGCGAGTTTTTGAGCTTTCAGCAATAATAACTTCCTTCAAAGAACTTGTTGGGGAGGGGCGAAGACATTTTTGAAGACTACGAGATTTCTGCTTTCTTATGTGTTTTACCGTTGTCTGGAAGAATCGTCCTCAGAAAATTAGGTCCCGAAGAACTTTAATTTCAGCCCCGAGAAGTCAAACCTTTCATAGGGATGCATTCAACTGTTCTTTATTCCTCAAGGAAAACACCGTAATTTGCCTAAAACTGTCTCTCTGTGCATAATTAATCGAATCTAATGCGGTCTGCACAAACAATTCTTGCCCTCGGATACGCCACGCACGCGCCTGTGGCTGGCAGTCCTCGAAATTGCGACCCCCTTCCGACCAAAATGCGACCCCTTCGTTCGAACAGTTCGAACGGACGGACGGTTGACCCTGCTTGACGCTGCCTCCGACCTTGCGAATACGACCCCCTTTTTCGATCGGCCCAATACGACCCCTCTGTTTGGGCAAATTCCAACAATCGGTTGACTCTGGCCTTGCTGCGTCAGAGTTTTCGTTGCGAGTTTTTTTAGTAATCAAAACAATTCCTCAATTGAGATGTGGGATGGGGCCTTAATAGCCCTCCTCCTCTCGCGTTTGTAAAGGCATTTTTCTCTAAGATGCTATTCTCTTTAGCCCTCACGATCCGTTCTGATATTTGCTTCTTACTTGTGCTAAACAACAAGGGTTCTATAATCACTCAACGTTTCCTGAGTTCAAGTCGTTTCCAAGAAGTTTGGTCTCAGACGAGACTCGAAACCGCATTTATTTTTTCCGATCGACTCATTTATCCATTACGCTATCTTCATGTTATACTTTATAACCCCCATTGACGAATTACCATAAGCTTCGCGAGGGTGTCGAATACAGCGTGTCACATGAACAGCCATGATAGTTGAATTGATAGTCAGCTGAACTGTGGTTATTCCAGTCCACACTTGGATGCGAATCCGGATCGACCACTGAGCTGACCAAAGTCAAGAATTCAGTAATCTATTGAACAGCGAAGAAAATGCCTTTCAAACAGCCCCTCGGTGAACGTGCCGAAAATCGCATCGCTCCGTCTTTTATTCGGGTTGGTTCGCTGAAGAATTTCTTACAGCTTATTCTGATCGTGTTTTTTTTCCTATTTATTTTTTCCCTTTAGGAAGACTCAGTTTCAGAACCCTTGAAAATATGAAGGTTGAATTTTAGTTAATTTCCAGAACCCTTCGAAACATGCATGTTAAATTTTAGTTACTATTTCCACAGTATTTTACCTACTATTGCAGCCACTGGCCGATAAGAGAGCGGTAGTCGGCGAGCGAGTTGTGCTGCAGTGCCAGTTGGACGGTCATCCGACACCGGCCGTGAAATGGCTCAAGGATGGTCATAACGTTTCCAACTGCCCTGACTATGAGGTAATTTATTTTTAGTAAATTCCGGAGCCGATTTTGGGAGCCTGTGCCCCACTCGGAATATTCTTTTGTGATTGCCTATAAATATCAAAGATTGAATCATGGTTGCAAATTAAACTTGCACTGAAGAAAAAAGAGAAGCAGGCAAGAACACTGAAAGTGAAGGGTTTCTTTTCCATGAAGGGTGGGGGGACGAGTTTAGAGGACAGGTAGAGATAGACGCTCCACTGGATCTGCGCTCCTAGGCGAAAGCACCCTCCGTTGTTTCATTCCAAAAATTTAACGACCCCTCTTGGAGGGGTTCTTTATACGATCCACCACCACCTTCAGTCCCGATAACCTAAAGAGTCCCCGATACGCCCCCCCCCTCCCCTCTCCCGACTACCACCCTCACCATCATAGCTGCTTCTATGATATTAGGTGGCCCACACAGTTCCACTCCGCCCACTTTTTCCTCCGAAACGGCTATCAAGGGGAGGGGGATAAGATCGGCAAATGCTATGATTTCTATGATTTCGCGTTTCTTTGGTGATTTCACCAGCTAATCCCCAGAGGAAAAGAGGGAATCCAAGCCATTCTCTTTCTTTCCGAAGGAAAAGAGGGAATCCAAGCCATTCTCTTTCTTTCCGAAATTCATCCCCTCCCTCAGGCTTAAATTTAGTAGCCTTCCTACAAACTGCCTCCCTCGGAAGCTTCATCGCGCCGACTTTTCTTAGCGCTTAGATTAAATCTATTATAATTAGGATGGTTAAAAAGAACAGAAGCCAACGGATCATTAAAAAAAGAGAAAGTTCCAGATTCAAGAAGACGGCCATGTCCATCGGCTGATTATCTCTCAGGTCCACAGTGCAGACAGTGGAAGATTCACCGCTCAGGTAGGTCGTTTCCATTTATGTATTTTTCTCTGTTTATGACGAATCAACTAAATGTGGTGAGTTATTGTCGAGAACTCGATGCCGAAAGATGAACAGGAGTCTTAACGGGCGAAATCAGCAGTGGTTCAAAGGTACTGGTCGCATTCGGTTTGATGTGTAATTCAATAATAAAGCGAGAGCTCGAAGATGGAGAAGATAAAGTACAAAGAACCACAGAAAACACTGGAATCTGAGGCCTGCTTTTCAATTGCATCCTGTCGAAGGAGGATCATGATCAAATTGATGTGGCGAAAATGTGAGTCTCGAGAGGGCAAAGAAGTCCAAAGAGAAAGGGATAGCAGATCCAAACGGCGACGCAGACAAGATATCGATTGGTGGGCGGGCCCCGATTTTTGTTGATGGGATTTGATCAAACTCCTAAACGCATAGCGTCTTAATCGCGCGTTCCGAAGTGCGAAGGTGGCGCGACCTCTGCAGTGGCGGTTTCCACATCTCCGTCATCATCCACGGGATGGACTATTTCAGTGAGGCTGAGCCCGCACCTGCATTTCAGGGCGGGATTTACGTTGAAAAGGAGTCCACTAGAGATCAAGCCAAATGTGGTGAGTGGTAGAATTTCCGCAATGATGCGACTCTCATTGGTGCTGCCCTCTTCAACGTTGACGCTCTCTTCCTCTCTCTGCCAGAGGGATGGTAGGCGTGCCGTGGCGTGGGCGGCACGTCAAGAGCTGGGTACATACTTATCACTGCGAACGCGCATTGTTCCGCACCCTTAGGGGGCCACCTGCCTTTTCAGGTAAATTTCCTCTTCTTCACCTCCGACGTTATCGTGGAATCCTCCCCCAGCATGGAATGTGTCTTCAAGATCGCGGTCACCATGGAGCTCTCAATTTCTGGCTCTTAATTCTGGAACTGGGGTATTTTAAGTACGCCACTAATGAAGGTAGCTGCTTAAATAGCCTCGTCAGGCCAAAGGTATCAATGTCGAAGTATAACGCCCAAAAAGAACCATCGCCTTGCTTTACAACGGAGTCATCTTTGTGTGTCATCAAAATATGTCTAGCCGTTTTGTTGTTGTCTTCTAACGCCAATAGAGCTGCAAAAATACCAAGACTTTTCAGGCTGCAAATGCCGCCGGTCTACGGCAGTCCACATGCATTCTCATCGTCGCTCCAGCGCCTACTCCGGTTCCTGGTGGAAAGCACATAGCCGTGTAAGTGCCCTTTCGAATTAATTGACCAAATCCACTTTTTGGTATAATCAAATGATGCAATTGCTATTCCAATTATTAATTTATTTTGCGCTTGTTTTGCTATTTTCGCCTCAGTTCGTACAGCTTCAGAGACGTTTTCTGTGGAACCATATTGTCCAAAACGTGAGAACATTGGAAGTAAATAATTATGGAAGGAAAACTTTAGATAAGGGTGAAAGGGGTGTAGGGGAATGTAGCGCCCCAAGGTCCACGATTTTAGCGTTTTCGATGATTTCTCTTGCTTTGCTTCCCACTTTCGGTTCATTCCGCTGCTCAGTCATCACTATGAAGCGCTCTTATACACCAGTTTTATCTTGGGACTAGTCTTCAAGGATCAGGCTCAAAGTTGCGTTTACGACTTGGCTGCCAGAGAAGTGAGATGTGGCGCTTTCACAACGAAAGGTGCGCTGGTTGCTGAGCAGGACTTCGAAAGCGCTCCGCCCACTAGTTTAGTTGGTGATTTGGACGAGCTGCGTTGCCAGCAGCGGCACAACTGGAGCAACTCGATTAAGCGTGGTTTGGCCATCCAAACGCGTTGCGGTGAACTCGTTCATACGTCCGCTTTCTGAGCTGTTACCTGTTCATGAGTGAAAACCAACGGCCAAAAAGGGGGTCCCGTTTTGCGTTTTCTTTTTCTGCTTTTTTTTGCTTTTGGCGTACCATTGAGCACCACCACGTCACACTGAAACCCTTCTTGAATTTATCGTAATCGCTGCCTTTAAGTGGTGCGGAAGTCGTACGAAAGAGGAAGAACATAGAAGGCACGGTGGCTCGCTAGTCACGGTAGAGGCGAAACAATACTTTTTATTCGAACGCGTATACCTCGAACTCGGATGCGTGGCGCATTCCGAACAGTTTCCTACTAGCGCGAGTGTTTATCCTCTATTCTTGATTCTTGTTTACAATAACGTTCAACTTGCTGAAGACTTGACCATAAGACTTAAAAATTAGTTAAAGAAAATTTCGAGCGATTTGAAGTAAGCCGAAGCTATTGTTGAGAGGATTCGCTGATACAGATTTCACATAGTTGGGTTTTTTTCAATTTTTTTTCTCGGTTAACTTGGACAACGCAAATGAATCTTTATGGATTTTTAAATTTGTACATATCTCAAATAATAAAAGCTCCTCTACGAAAAATTCAGTACGAATGAGAGCCATCTGTATTTTGGGCAGGTCCCAGGAGTGTAACCTTCAAGCCAGTATAATTAGACATCAGACATAGCTATATTATCAATGGTCCGACAGTTTTGACGAACTCACGCCGAATAAAAAGTGAAAAATTATATCCTTTCACACTTTCTGTCAAAAATAATCCCCGAAAT